AGGGGTGTGAGGAGCACATGGAGAACACGTTAAAGACAAGCGTGTAAGGGGTGTGAGGAGCACATGGAGAACACGTTAAAGACAAGCGTGTAAGGAGCACATGGAGAACATGTTAAACTATACATACAGGAATATGAGCGCAAAGATTCATCTCTCACCGCAGTTTTTCAGCTTGAAGAGGGGGTGGTCCGTGGGCAGCGGTTCTGGTGTGGTGACATCCAATCCGGCCGCTGCGATCTGACCGGTGGACAGAGCCTCCAGCAGGTCCTCCTGGTTCACCACCCCTCCTCTGGAAACAGGGGTAAAGGGGAACAGGTGTCTGACAAACCAAGACAGCTTTTCTTTTATTTGAACAGAACAGCCGATGAGGATGCCTTGGTGTGGAGCCTCTGTGAAATCATACTCAATACTTGTCATTATTTACTGTAGAAAAACAATGGAATGAACGATCTTTTGCCTTCAAGCCACTAAAAACATACGTATGTGACTGTATTGTTATAATTTTATGCTCATGATTACCGGCTGGTGTTGATGAAGATGGCGTTGCTCTTCATCTGAGAAAACAGCTTCCTGTTGCAGATACCCTGCGTCTCCGGGGTGAGCGCGCAGCAAATTGTCAAGAAGTCTGACTCTTTAGCTAGCTGCTCCAGCGATACTGCAATCAAGAAATGCAGTCGGAGGAAGCATTTACATTGTGAAAAATGACATCCAGGCATTAAACTCTCAAAATAAGACTACATGGATGGATGAATGTGAATGATGAGCTCACCATACTCCGCGTTTATCTGACTGGCCAGTTCCGGTCTTGGTGTGACATCTGTGTAAATGAACTTCTTCACTTTGAAGGGCTTCAGTCGCTCAGCAATAGCCAGCCCTAATATATGTCAGTAACAAAAGCAACTGTTTTATGCTTCTGTAGACCAACAGTTATTTCTCCTGTGAGTCGAACACAAATGTACAGTGCTGTGTAGAAGTCTTAGGCAGTAAAGGAAAATGATGCTTTTGCGTAAGTAAACTCCTAGTTTTTCCTATTATTTACCTTCTTTTTTCACTCCCTTCAGATCTCTTTTGTGTGCTTATCTCTTATCCTTCATGTATTCGTAGGACTGATCTCTCTGGCTACCAAACTCCCTAGACCTGTGACCTCCACTATAAGTACTGCCTACCGATATCCGTTCTGCCCGATCTCTCTAATAAACTCCCCTTTCCCCACATACTGGGTTTCCAAGCTTCTGTGCTTGACACCATATAAATAAATTCAGACTTTTCTTACCACAATGTCAAAATAAAAGTTGTTTTCCAATGAGTAGGGGTTACTTACCGATCCTGCCCAGTCCCAGGATTCCCACAGTGCTGTTGGCCAGCTCATAACCACACAGCCACATGGTCCTCCAAGTACCCCAGCCACCACTGAGGAGAGGCGGACAAAAAACTGACAAATGACTTTGAGATCCAGTCTGGGATTGTCAATACAACTAGAAACACGGGCCCAGTATGACAACACGCCATCCTTACTGGGCTTATCAGTTGTGTTACTTAAGAGAGGGCAGGGAAGGAGTACAGGCGGTGTCACCTACGTTTTGGCCTCATGGGTGGCCTCTACAAGACGCCGGGACGTGGTCAGCAGCAGGGCTATGGTGAGTTCTGCCACCGCATCAGTCAGGACATCCGGCGTGTGGCCCAGACGGATTCCCCTGCAGGGATATGAGCATTGAGTGAAGCCCTCTGACATCTAACCCGAAACGTCACTGATGCAGGCTGGGATAGAGAAGCACCGGCTCCACAGACCTCCTCTTTATCTCGTCCAGGGAGATGTGATCGAATCCCACAGACATTGTGCTCAGCACTTTAAAGTTGGGCCCTGTAAAGAAACACATCAGGTTTGGATGGTGTCTCCCATCTGTATGTGTCCTTAGGGGAGGCCAGAGCTCAGCTCTGATACCTGCAGTGTCCAGCAATTCAGCATCAATCTGCTCTGTCAGCATGCAGAGCAGGCCGTCCACCCCCTTCACCTTTTCCAGCAGCTCGGAGCGAGGAACAGGGTCATCTGAATCCCAAAGTTCAAATTCCACTCTGAGACAGGTGCAAAAAACTTAGATATCTATCAGGCATAACACGGACAAAGAACAACAAATAGCTATAGTCTATACATATACAAGTAAGATCGACTGAGGAAACTTTGGTTTACAGTATTAATCATAATCAATTAATATTTTTATAAATAACATGCATATTTACTATTCAAAGCAAATTAAACATTTTAGCCAGAATTAGACCTATACTTTTTAGGGGTCTACAATTAAAGACACAATTTGTCTGAATGCAACACAATCTTATTTTCCAGTAATTACCTTTAACCTATTTCAAAATATGCAAATTTAAAAACATGACATTAACAGCACATTAAAAATCTATAAATGCCTTAATCATGGCTGTGATACTAACTGTCCAGACTGGCGAAGTATCTTCAGTCCCTCTGGTGGCACCTTACGGGTAACATAAACCCGGGGTAAGGTGGACTTCGCACGCTGCATAGCGTCCAGCCTGCCGTGGGCGCTGACTGCGATCTGCTGGAGTCTACGGAGCGATATGCGGCTATTCCACATCGCCGGGGGGTGAGGCGCTACTGAGCGGGGGGACGGAGTGAAAATCCCGTTTAACAAGGACCTTAGAAAGTTAATGGATGTCACCGAAAGCGGGGGGCGGCACGGGCGCCTGACCAATATGAGGAAAGGGAGGGAGGGAGGCTTGTTGATTAACGTGAAATACAAACTTACCCCAAACGTTTACAAACTCAACCACACAGTTTTAGCCTGCGTATGACGTAACAAGTTCGTATGGCGAAGAGTCTGCAAAACATTTTAGAACTAATAGGATAATAAAGAAATGATAATAAACATGCCCAAGCTCAAAAGTGCATTTGCTGCTTCATAAGGGAAAACGCCAAGTGTAGATTAGATATTTTTATTTAATTGAACAAATCGAGTCTAATTACAACGTTAAAATTTTGAGGTCCATAAATAAATAGATAAACATTTACAGCTATATAAATCCGTTGATATTCCTATTGACATACTTTTATATAGCTTTATCTCAGTAGAAAACCCCGTATGTCTGAACTGTATGGCATATAATTTGTGGGATATTTCATAAACTGAACCTTCCCTCAGTTCATACTCGGTCGACTGTTTTTATATTGTTTACACAGGCCAGACAAATGTTAGGTTCTGCTGTCTATGATAAGGAGCTCGCCTGCAGAACGCTGGATATGAAATAAACTATATTTGTCCCAAATATAGTTTCATAAAGCTTACACGTGTCGAAGGACGCGTCCTATAATTAAAGTAACATTGTTCTAAAGCTTTAAGCTTTTTAAAACAGGAAACAAAGAAACAGTTTTAAGATGCAGCCCATTTGAGTCTTAATTGTGTTAATGTTAATGTTTAATTAATGCTTAAAAGCTTCGAAGACCTTTGCACGGAAACCTCGCCGAGCTATTTGAGAAACCCCAGTTAGACGCCCAACTGTGTCTGTAAAAGTTGTTGCTTCAGTCTTTTAATGGAATGATATTTAGATTTCATACGCAGGCTTTTCATGATCTATTACTAACAGCAGTTCACAATAAATACGGTTAACTGCAGTTGGAGGGGGGGAAGTATACAGCACAAATAAGGCGATCGCACCAAAACCGGGAGTGACAGGGGGCGGGGCGAGGGGCAGGGCGGAACGGGTCTGGTCACGTGACCGCCACGATCTGTAACCCGGAAGCAGTCGCCTTCGCGAGCCATTCATTAGCCGTTCATGGGACCTCGCGTATGCTGACAGGTAGCCGTATCTGTTTAACTTTTCTTTTCATATAATAAAACAACCTAACGGGCAATCGCAGTATGTCACCGATATACACGAATGCTTCTGCGAGGCGCAGGTGGAATGGCGGAACGGCGTCTTTGAAATATGACTGAGGTGGCTGTAAATCTAGATATTGTATTTACTGTCTCAATGGAGCTGCCTCACAGGCCCGCAGTGTGAGAGTGAGTAAGCACTATGACAGGCTGTAACTGGGTGGGTCTCAGGCGACCTGAAATATAAAGATTCAGTCAGCAGATCAAAACACATTCCTAAATAAGCAATGTAACAGTCTAAAAAGGAATATGGAACTGCACCGCTGTTTTCCCATGATAGTTGTTGTCAGTACTGGTATTGGAGAGAAATTAATGTAGCCAAACTACTTCGTGCCACGTTAGTTTCATTAGAAGAGTTTAAAAGTTGTTTTTGGGTAAGCTGATAGAAAGACTGCCTTTCTGCCTTGCACCGATGACTAGCTTCAGTTGCCATTTAATA